TGCATCTTGATCTGCCATATAGCTAAGTTGTTCTTACCCGTGAACTTCTCGATCTTCATGTTCACCGACGTCATTCTTCATAATTGAAACCCTAACTTGATTTCCAAACACGGCTCAGATACCACTTGTTAAAAACGCGCTGCTATGAATCGGGAAATCGCTGGAATCGACAAAGCAAGAATACGAAAGCGAGAATCGAAAACACGCCACATGATTTACGTGGTTCACTAACACGATGTGTGTTAGCTAGTCCATGGGCGAGAGAGAGTTAGTTTCACTATATCGAGGAGATTACAGATTACAGAGGAGATGAGAAGTATTTATACTTCTCCATATGGGTCTAAACCTAATCTAATCTGGCAAAGGAAACGGTTAGAGACCAAGTCACATCAACATATGTAATAAGGGAAATTACAATAAGCTACCTAGACTAAGTAAAATACATAATTTCAACAAGCAGTCGATCCACGATTGGGATTGGGTTGGTGCAGTTCTATCATAGACACCGCTTGATTCTTGCGGCGGTTGGGTTCCTATGTACAGACTTAAAAAATCTATATAGTTTTTGTATAGAGAAATTATGTACAGATTAAAAAAATTCCCTCCAAAATACATTAAAGTGGTTGGTATCTTGTACGCCATAACAAATCAAATCTTTTACTAGAAAAATATTTGAAATCCGAGTTAAAATACGGTAAGCAAGGACTAATCATATCATATGTGGCATAATTTTGCTTCTCCAAAACTATTTTCGTGTGTCGCTATTTCTCATTCACTTCCATTTTCATTCAATTGACTAAATTAATTTTGTGAAAAAAATTAATAAGCACAAGCCCTTTACCATTTGACAACTAATCTCGACTCGGAATGCGCTAACCACCATCTACAACCATTTTTACATCTCATCAATCAAAATTCTATCCTACTTAGAAAAAAAAATTAAATGCATAACCAAGATTATCCACTCTTACCTCCCCAGCTTTCAGAGACGGCCAAACAAAACCCCCAGCTTTCCTCACGGCCAGTCAGGTCGGCGGTTGGGTTCCTATACTCATAATCGGCGAGTAGGTGTACCTTTTACTGGGTCGCCGGCGACCGGATGAGCTGCAGAGAAGCAACGAAGGGTTAGGAAGAGAGGCGTCGAGATGAGGAGGGGAAGTTGATAGCAAGGATATTGATATTGCCATGATGCTTCCTTACTTAATTGGACTAAGTTTCATAAGTGAGTTATAAAAAGCAAAACAGCAACAACAACAAAAAGTCGTTAATGTAGAGGAATTTTACAATGCTATATAGCATTGGTGCTATAACTTTTTGCCTTTATGGTACAAATTGAAGTTGTATCTTTAACGTTATGGTACAACTTTAGATTGTACCTATACTCTTTTGTACAAATTCTTTTATGGTATAACTTCAACTTGTATCTTTATGTTATGGTACAACTTTGCAACTTTAACTTGTACCATGACATAAGAGTATAAATTCATTTGTGGTACAACCTGAACTTATACATTTAATGTTATGGTATAACTTTAAGTTGTACATTAAAGCACCAATGCTTTATAGCATAGTAGAAGTGCTCCTTAATGTAAGGGAATAAGTCTGGCATTACATTGTAGAAGTTGAACCAAAATACATGTATTATTAATATTATTAATGCATGGGGAGATAGATTATCAAAATGATGTAACCAATCAAATAAGGCATATACATGCTGCCAAGCTATCAAGCTCACCAACCCAACCATTCTTTAACCATAAAGCCTTGTTTAGCACCAACCAATGCCAAACCATAAAATGGGTGGCCTAATATAACTACTCTCCTCTGCTACTTAAACACCTTTTTATGACAGACAAGCGAAGTACACCAATGCTAAGCTCTTATATTGTTGTCATTCATACTTGAGAAAAGGTGGACCTATCCTGGCTAGTTGAGTTGGCGGCAAGTAATAAGGTACACAATTATGTATGTAATCCAGAAACTACTTGCTCATCACATTCCTATATTTCTCGTAGAAGTTGGTTTCATAGTTACGATGCTTGTGATGTAGATTATGTTACTTTGGATGATAGTCATGCATGTGTAACTGTGGGAACACAACTTGGAGGATAAAGATGCTTGAATTATAACATTTGAAGCAAAAAATAAAAATAAAATTCATGCAACAAAAGGGGGTCATCGGGGAGAGGGAAGTCCATTTTAAAACTCGAATTTGGAATCTCCAAGTTGAAAACCGGTCATGGAACCGCTAGATCAAGCCCTCTTTTGAACATTTAAGGTATATTTTTTTTAAGAGAAAGAGGAAAACACCTCAGTAACCAAATGGCTCAAATCAATAACAATTTGTTTGAAATAGCAGTAGTAAAGGTACATATCCAACTATTACGATTGTTGTTTGTTGATAGCTATTGGAAGGTGGGCAAGCTTATGCACCCAATCTCCATATTCATCTCTGTTTTAGCTTCCTCTATCAGTTTACCGGCTACCCACATCTGAGTGCGATTAATTTTTAGCTAGGGTTCCATTTGCAAATCATGTCATCTTCATTATTGCAGAAGAAAGCACAACTCTGCCTTATGCCACGTCTGGCGCCCAGCTCTCTGCTACATACTTGAAGTTACCATTCCAATCTCACATGAACATCCCTAGCTAGTCTTGTGTCTTCCTCACCAAGGTACCCCAAATCCGTATTTACTCGTGCCGGGTTCCATAGCAGGATTTGTTTACCTTGACTAACCAAACTCATTCTTTGGATCTCCTGGCCACTTGTTCCTCTTCGAGTTTTGGTCAACCAAAGTGGTAATTATGTTCCTTTGATGGAGTATATAATTATTATTAATGTTAATTATAATATTTATTATTATATATTGTGGGGGATTTTCGGCTACTGTAGCCATTTGGGGAGGGATAATTATGCTAGGTTTGGAGTTAAATTATGATTGTAGTTGTAGTCCGCAGCCAAGTCTTGGGCCGAGTAGGCTATTAGAGTTAGGGTTTGCCTTTATTATAAATAAATGTGTACGCTATTAGAGTTAGGGTTTGCCTTTATTATAAATAAATGTGTACTTTGTTATTCCTTTCGATTCATTGAAGAAAGAAGAAAAAGTAGTTTTAGAATTTTAACGTGTTTTTAGGAGTCATTCGATTGATGCATTAGAAACTATAATTCATTAATTAGTATCAGAGATTGGTTCCGACGAATTGAGTTTAAAGATGCTCGTATACAGAGATGGAGGCTTGCCATGTCTCTTGGCCGAGCGTAAGAACCATATTGAGTATTTTATTGTTGTTTGAATCAAATTTCACAAAACCTTTTATAGAATGATAGGGATTGTCTAGTAAAATGTGAGCATCATAAAATTCACAATACGTGTAAAAGAGGAATTCTTGAGTGCTCTCAGAGCACCACCTCAGCTGTGCTCCCTCCCAATAAATATGCGCCACCTGTATGATAATAAATAATAGGTGATACTGATATTTAATTAAAGTTGAAATGCGTAATTAAGGGTTGTTATCTTTGGTTACAGAGTTCTCATCCTTGGGAAAAAATGTTGAATTATTCATTTTAATTTGGAACTCCATGTCCTTTTATAGCTGAAGATACTTTTGGTATTTCCTACGGTAAATAGCTAAGGCATTGTAATGAATAAAATACAAAATCAATGATCATTAGGTAATATCATTTTACTAATATATCGTGTAAAAATTATAGAACTACAATTATTGGTTACATAATAATTAAATTTTACGTATTATGTAAACCTTTCGTAATGATTTGACATTTTACGTGTTATTTGTTACGTAAATATATCATCGTTTACGTAAGACTCATATAATGTCATTTTACAACTATTATGTAAGATACAGATAGATGGTAAAATATATAAAACGATAATTAGTTCTTACATAACAGTTAAATCACACGTGCTATATATGACTTCTATAATGACTTAACACTTTGACGTAATAGAGTGTTAATAATCATTACGTAAAACAATGTGGAATCACTATTATATTTTACATAATAATATGTAAACCACGGACTAGACCAGACCAAGAGATCAATACATCATATAATATAGACCATAGACCAGACCAAAATATTTTTAACGGTCTATGGTCCAATCCAAACTATACGATCCATTTTGATCCATGGTTTTTGAAACGGTCTAATCTATTTTTCCAACCGTACATCTTCATTCACATTTGTCTATTTCAGAAAATTAGCCCCAAACTCATTTCTATTATGCTGGTAACAATACTTCCCACAAGTAATTATTATTTTCATGGCTTATTGTCTTTGGGAACAACCCTGCCAACCCAGGGAGACGGAAAAAAAAAAGGAAAAGTCTAGAATAATTATGGAATTATAATTATGAAATTAATCATTAACTTGAGTTTCCGGTATAAACCTTTTCCTTTTAATTAGTACCATACAAGTGGCGCATATTTATTGGAAGGGAGCACGACTGAGGTGGTGCTCCGGGAGCACTCAAGAATTCCTCCGTGTAAAATACTTTCTTTCGTCATCTTGAATGATGATCTACTGAAAATAATTAATTAGAATAGAGTGTGAATACTTTTGTCTTCTATCCTTCCACTTTCCCTCCAATTCCTAACTACCGCGGGATGAAATTCATGAGATACCTTTCTCGCATAGAGACTTTTCAACTTGCTGAAGTGAAAACAATGAATTATAACCTTTTTTAGTTTATTCCTAATAATGGAAGAATCACATGAAAGCATTACATCCTTTAATGACTCGCTTAATTTTCTCCATTTACTAAAATAGATAAATCCCCCGCCCTTACCCTTCCCTTTCCTCGCCTTGCCTAAAATTTTGATGTGTTAAAAAATGGGAAAATGCATCTATGTCAAGAAACGCCTCTTTTATCGGAAATTCTATAATTTCCCCCTTTTTTCCTCATTTTTCGCTCTTCTCAATCCCCAAATCTAATAACTAACTCTTTGCTATATATAGTTTGCTTTTTGTTCTAATATTTCCCCCAAACCCCCCTTCTTTTTTTCGCAATAATCTTCTTCTTCATCTTTCGATCGCAGCCTAGGCCTTAGTCTCATGTTTCTGCGGATTCCATCCCTTACTTTCTCTTAATTCGCAGAATCAGAGACATTATTGTAATATAATATATTAAAAAGGTTTGGGGTTTGCTCCATTCTCAATAACCCCTAACATTTTTCTTTGTTATGATATTTGGGTTCTGATATCTTTCTTCACTTGGGGTGCAGTTCTTGGTTCCTGTCTCTGCAAGTTTCTTCGTCGACATTCAGAGAAAAAAAACTGAAATAAGAGAAGAAACCAAAACAATTTTCTATTTACAGAGGTGGTGGTGGGAATTGTTGTTCAACTTCTCCCTTTTTTGCATTCTTTCTTGTCCTTATTTTTCGATCTAGTGTCAGCGTGGCCAACTTTGGCCATACTTTTTTCCATGGGCTCCAATTGATGGGTGTTTCATTAAAATTTTCAGGCCATTTTGCACCTTGTTTCGGAAGGTTGGGGTGGTACTCTGCATCTTTGGACATTAAAAGATGTTGGGAGATTTCGTGAACAGATGCCTTCTGTATGTAGCAGTTTCAATTTTCTCAATTGAATCAGTTTGTGGATGTGTAATTTTCGATCCAATTCGTAACAAAAGGGGGATTCTTTGATTTATGCAGGTTATTTTTCGGGTATGCATACCCGGCATTTGAATGCTTCAAGTCGTCAGAGAAGAATAAAATCAACATTGAAGAAGTCAAATTCTGGTGCCAATATTGGTAAGGATGAATCTAGATGTCTACATTTATGCTAAGTTAGATTTATGTGTGTATATTGGTTTGTTCGTCTAACATAATAGTTATTGGGCTACATGGGTTCCTTCCTGCATGAAAATTACGTTGTTTGTTTGTTACTTTGTGACTTTATCTATCGAGCCATCATATTTAGTACAAATTTAAGAGATAAAATTTTCACCAATGATATCACTTTCTGATATGATAGGCCTTATTTCATAAATGTTTTTGTGTATTTTGAAATTCTTGGTCTCTTACTTTCTTTTTATTGGTAGTCTCCATCAATATATGCTCGAATTGTTTATAGCCAACCATGGAGAATTGAGGAATGATTTTTTTTTTTTTTTGTAATACAGGATTATTGTGGCACTAATCACTGTTTGTGAAAGGCTTGGTGACTTTTTCTTGTCTTGGTAAGCATACCATAGAGATAGCCTCTGTTAAAGAATTGCACCAATGGGTTTTTGGTTGAGCTAGGCTTAACTATGATTTTACTTGGTTTATGGTGTAAAGGTTGCCGTTTTATGGCGAGGCGAAGTTGGGATTTTTCATATGGCTATGGTACCCGAAAACCAAGGTAAGAAAAGAGAGAACATATTTATTGGAATTGCCTCAAATTGAGTACTAAAAAAATGTTCGGTTATTGGAATTGCAGGGGACTTACTTTGTGTACAATAACTTCTTGAAGCCATATGTGTCAAAGCATGAGACAGAGATAGACAGGAAGTTGCAAGAAGTCAAAGCCAGAGTTTGGGATTTTGCCATTTACTACTGGCAAAACTGCACCAAGTTGGGGCAATCCACTTTCTTCCAGGTTCTAGAGCAGTTAGCTACGCAATCTGGACGGTTTGGGAATGCCACCTCCTCCAAGCAGTCTCAGGTAAAAATATCAATTATATATATATATTTTTTTTATCAAGCCTACATATGATTCGCCATTAGGCAATCTCCCTAAAGACTTAGAGTAGCCATATATCCAGTAATAGCCGGTGAATGAGCTTTGTGATAGAGAGCTTCTTAGTTCCCTGTAATGCAAAAAATTGTTGCTTTCTTCACTCTGCTTTCTCCTTTGTTGTGTTTTTTTTTTTTTTTTCACAGAGAGGTCCCACTGGAAAAATTCAGCCTAATGAGTTTCCTCCATAATTGTTAGTACATTTTACTTCCTCCGAGGCTATTCCTATATCTACCTCTTTAATTCTTCGCCATCCTATGCAATTTCCAAGTTCGCTCAACAACTCATATTCTGGATGCACAAATTCCATACAGAAGACTCATTCATCTTAACCATTCAAAAATATAGCAAATCAGAACCACTCAATCTATATAAACTACAAATTCCTAGTTTTCAAACCAATAATTCCTCCAAAAAAGACAAAAAACGAACGCCCTTTGCATGTGCGATTATATAGAGAATGAAGAGGAATTGGTATATGATTATTAGAATGTGCTAAAAGAGTGGTATTTAAATTCTGGCGTTGAAACCATTTTTCAGAAGAAAACAGGCAGCACGGTACCAGTTGCACCTCCGCCGCCAGAGTCTCCAACGGCGAGAAGGAGCGGAAGTGGGCGGTGGACGCCAAGAGCCGCTAGCAGACTGAGTCGAGAGGCAGGAGTGGATTCCCCAAGATTCCAGAGGCAACTCACCGGTGAAAAGATGGATGGTGACGAGCTCCAGCAGGCCAAGATGAGGCTCCGGCGATCAAATCCCATTGCCTAATTTGAAGAAGACTATAAATTCTATTAAAAAGTGTACAAAAGCATATCTAAAAAAACCCATTAAAAACACAAGAAGATAACCAGGAAAAAATCTCTCACAAATAGAACCCCAAAAACTGAAACAAAAAATTGAGATATTTTTCAGTCAATTTATTCCACACAGCCATTCAATTTGTTATTTTTTTCCTTTTTTTAATGAATTGAGTTTCAGGTTTCCAACCCTATTAGTGTTTTGTTCTTCTTGTATGTGATCATACCATTTATTCAGTCGGTTGATCCACCTTCTTTGTAAGAGAACAACAAATATGATAAAAAGTAAAGATTCAATTTTCCCCCCAAAAAAGTTAAGTTTCGTTTCTCTCTACCACTAAATTTAGGGTAAATACAATTTAATATCCAAACTTTTCATTTTAAACAATATAATAGCCAAACCTTTTCGAAAACAATATAATATCCAAATCGTCAACTTTCCGTTCGTTTGACCGTTAGTTGACACTTCAAAAAAGCTTTGTTTAGGGGAAATTGTCACAATACAACTTTGTTTTCTTGTTTTGGCATTGCAGATGACTGAATATTTAGATATTTTATACCATCATGGTGCAGTCATAAACTTCTCGGGTTTGGAACTACGATATGTTGGTGGTTTTTCAGAGAAGATATCGATGAATATTGATGAAGTGTTATACTTCGAACTTTTTTAAAGTGTCAACTAACGGTCAAACAGACAAAAAGTTGACGATTTGGATATTAGATTGTTTTCGAAAAGGTTTGGCTATTATATTGTTTAAAATAAAAGGTTTGGATATTAAATTGTATTTACCCCTAAATTTATAACGAATTTGTTAAATTCCAAGCCCAATTGCACGAAATATCCTATCGAAAGCTTGGTGATGCATGAATTAGACAAAGTTCTAGGAATCAAAAAAGGTTTTAATGAAATTGTTTGGGGCATAAGACTTTAACCATAGGGGTGCAGGAAGTGTGTCATAAACCAGTTGGTCCCAATAACTCGAGTTGTTGGAAGAAGGTTATGTTGGATCTTATACAGGCTCATGTATGGTACTAAACCACTCCCTTACAGAGGGAGATAGAGGAGGAAGGATTTGGTTGGAGGTAAGCCCCAGCTGCCTGCTTGCTTCACGAGATGATTTCGGATGTAGATTTCAAAGGAAGGGTAATGAGACATGGATGTGCCCCTATTGGCGGTAGCAATAAGGAATTCGAGAACAGAGGAACAATAGAGGAAGGGATGAGATATTTGAGGGAGGTGCAGGAAGACAACTCTGGCAGTAGTTTGAGGGAGAACAGCTCATAGTTAGGGAGGGAGGCTGGAAGTGTGAAGAGTGAGCCTTGAGGGGATGGGAACGATGTTGGTGTCGATGAAGTTTTCGCGGTAGAGAGGCTTCGACTCATCCATCGAGTTTTATGGAGTGGAAAGAGAGAGGGTGAGTAAAAGGAGAGAAATGATTTTGTTGAAAGGTATTTGTATATATGAGAAGAGTTGAAGAAAGAGACTATTATTTTCTATTTTTTATTATTATTTAATATGTGTTTGTTGAGTGGCATGAGCATGACAACGACAACGATGATTGACGAATGTTGGTGGCAGTAGCGGTGGCGGTGGTGATTATGACAAGACAAAGGTAGGAGCGTATGAGCAGGTGCGATTGTTAGAAAAACATTAACCATCCAATCCCTTTTTATTTTCTAGTAGAAATTTTTCTGTCATTTTGTTGGAGTAATTTTAGCTGCTCTTCCATATATAGAGTGACTTTTTGCCAATAATGTTTTGTTTTGTATATCTCAGGTCTCAAACCCTCTTCTTATGTAATAAAATTTTCAAACATTATCGGTAGAGCATTTGGTCGATTGAAAAATAAATACTATCATCATCGTCACGTTATTTTCAAATCCAAAACTCACATTACTTAATCGGTGCGAGTTAAACTTTCAGGTACTCATCTCCTCATTTGTTCGATTATGAACACCCATGGTTTGTTGACTACGGTCAATGGCTAAACTACTTGTTTGATTAATGATCACTCTATTTATCAATTCTTTCATGGTTGCCACTAATTTTTTCCGATAATTTTAAATTTCTTTTTATTGCATTGTTAATTTCTAAATTTATGTTTCACTAATATTCGTCATCTGTCTAATTGTGTGAATAAAATAATGTGTGATAATCAATATTCCTAATTTAACTGTCAAATTAATGAATTCTCGATTAATAATATTCAAAATAATTTTTTTTTTAATTTCCACCGCATCTCTTCCTCACCTTTTCGACCTTAGCGATTTGGCTTTCCTTCATCTTCGTCGTCCCCGAACCCCAATGCCCTGGCCCACTCACCATTTATTCTCTTTTCTATTCCAAATTGAATTTTTAATTTCAGTCAACCAATTAATGAAAACCTAATGCTCCATTCACTTGTAATTCTATTTTCTGTTGCCATAGTAGAAATCAAGAAACAATGAAGAAAAAATTTCTTCATTTGTCATTTTGTTTTCATTTATAAACCATTTTACAATTAAAGGAGGCAACTGTGTTAAGACAACAAAATTCAGTTTCCTAAAAAATGGACACAAATTTCTTGCATTTTCCGGCGAAAAACAAATATTGTAGTTAAATGGGGTTGGGGTTTCGAATCCCCCAACTTCCAATTTTCTTTTAGCTACAATGATTCCTTGCCAAATTTGACTGAGCCCTCCCCAAAGTCTCAAACCCTACTTCGAGCTCATCACTCCAACTCCTTTGCCAACATTCTCAACAACCACTTCCCCTCAGTAATTAACTAGCACAGGGCTCGGCCCGTTGGCCAGGAAAAATTTGTCGAGTAATATGGTATACAATAATTGATATAATACATGATTTAAAATGCATGAAATAATTGTTTTGTACCGTAGTTATGCACATAACATCTTTGAAAGTGATCCAACTATGCGTAAAGTGTTTAGACCTACTGAAAAGAGGGGGGAAATGATATAAGCATTACATATAATTACTTAATGAAAAAAGAAATAAATATAACTAATTGTCATTCATTATTTAATTAAACCATACAGTTGAATATTAGAGTTGCTTCTCATAATACATACATAATCAACCTTTAGGATGAAAGAAAATATCTCTCATAGAGTTTAGTATGTCTTTTAAGTTTTTTTTCCAATAGAGAGCATTCAAATGATATTATTGATTTAGGATTTTTTTTATTGAAATGGAAAAAAATATGTCAAATATAATGTCGTCCCCTAAAATAAATCAAAACTCAATAGAAGAGGGCTAACAATACCCTTTAAGCAAAGGAGAAAGGCAATTATATCACACTACATAATTTTTCCCCTCTTGTAAATGTGTTCTCACTCTCTCTTTGCCTTCCTCTTCCTTACCCTATGAGCTTGAATCTCACCACTCTCCCATTCCCTTCCTCTTTCTTCCCACCGCCTGGAATCGAGAGAAATCTAGAAACGTCTCAATTATTTCTTCAATTTTGCGTTCGAAATGCTTATTCTTCATTCATAGTCGATAGTGTGAATCAAACCACCTGAAACCTAGCGAACAGATGGCCGCTTATTCCTCGACGGAGCAAAGTAGTTTGATAGCTTGTGAATAAACTAATTACTAAAAGTGATAAAAAAAACAACACTCATTAAATCAATTAAGTGAGAGTATATAGTTAGTTCGTCGCTTAAACTATTTTATTTATCAAAAGAATCAAAATGCATAATCAGGTTCATCTTCACTTATTTACATGTATTTGTTGTACAAATTCATTACACATAAAAATGGTTTGAACCAACATATCAAACTAAATTTCATCTTATGATTATTGGATCCAATAATGTCAGTTTAGCAAGAGGTCTAAGGCTATTGGTCAATCGGGCTGAAAATTAATATTAATTTAAGAATTATATATCGCTTCCAAATATTCAATACTCATATTCAATATGCAATATTAGAAAAAATTATATATGAATTTCAACCCTTTCCTCAAATATTTTAGACCAATAAAATCTCCCCCCCCCCCACCCAACAATAATTTTAGAAGCAAGTAAAGTGAAGAAGAAATTGATATGTTATTTTTATAATATTTTATTTTATTATTATCAAATAGCATATTTCTCCATAAAACATGAGTTCACCAATATAGACTGTGTGGTGTTCGCACTCGTGCGCGAGCCCTTGAAGTTTAGGTCTAATACAACCTATTAAGCATTCATGTTTGTACAGGACCGATCCACTTATATTGTCTTCATGGTATGCGCTAACTGTGTCGTGCTAGCTCGACCATGTGCCTAGGTATAGTTATATGCATTCTAATAATTAAGTTTCTACCTATTCACAATACCAATATAAAAAAGGTAATAAATGCACCCAGTATTCGATTTTGACTACATAATGAAATAAATACTACATTTGAACCAACTACCATTTATGTCACAAATAATAAGTATACCTATATCGTCTTAAATGGTGAAATGAACATCACATTAAACCCAATATCGTCTCATTATTGTTGGGTCCATTCATGCTAGATTAGCAATAGGTTTAAAGTTTAGCAGTTAACGGTCTAAAATTTTAGAGAACCATTCACTTGTAGTTTGTACAAAATATTATTGCTTCGTAGTAGTTTTGAAAATTTATATTAATTTAAAGAATTCTACATGACTTTTGAATATTCAAACTGCAATTCGATATGCATTATTTCAAGCAATGAAATTTGGGTTTCAATTTTAAGATTATCCGAAATTGTATAGGTTATAAAAAAGGGTAATGTCTATTTTTTATCCAAACTTTTTTCAGATTCTTTTATATTATCCAAACCGAAATACTAAGAATTAGCCAAATGTTAACTTTCACTTAGCAATTTTGTTAGTAATAGTGACTTGGCAACATGATACTGACTTGGAAGAGACATATGAAGGTCAACATTGCAAAATTTTAATATTTTAACTAAGAAAAGAGTTACCAAATTTTTAACGATAACGTAAAAATGACTAATATTTTTATGCATTATGAAAGATTTGGCTAATTAATAACATTTTAATAGGTTTGGATAATATAAAATAATCTAAAACAGGTTTGGATAAAAAATAGACATTACCCTAATTTAAATCATGTATTAAACTTTGCTTTTCAGAAAGATTTAATAGGCTAGCTAACAGTGATGGAAAAGTCCTCTGCTTTTCACATCTCCGTTTAGTGCATGTTTACAATTTAATAAGATTAAATAAATTTGTTTAATGTAATTGGTTGTGATTATTCTTTTTATTTGAATAGACCATGGTTCAAATCTTGATATTGATACTTTTTTATATGAAGTAGATAAATAATTGTGATGACAAACTTACTCTTCCTACTTTCACTCTCAATTCACGAAAATTGGAATGAAAAATCTTAAAACATTAAATGTATCTTATAGAAAGAACTTCTTTAACCAAGTAGGAAGGGTATTTTACCTGAAATTATTATATCTTATAGAAAGTGATTAATTGTCAGATCGGAACTCAAGTAATATTGATTCAAACATTAAATATTAAATTGTATGTATGGTTCAGTTTAGATAAAATACATATGTTTAGCCAAAACATGGAACTTTGTGACAAATATTGTAATTTTTTGTGACAATCTACACATAATATAAAGATAAATTGGGCGCAATGATGAAAAAGAGCTTCCTAGGATAAATCTCATACCACGAAATTTGAAATGAAACTCTCATTTTCCAAATTTATCATTATATTATGTGTATATTTGTCACAAAAAAATGGATATACTCGTCACAAAGGTCCATATATAGTTGTTTA